GTCGAATGAATATAACCGAAACATCAAAGTGGTTTCACTCGGTGACGTGAATATTTTTATGCTGAAAACTCATTCACTCGAGACCATCTTCGTTGCAATCTGTATCTTGCCAAAATCAGGTGTCAACACATGCCCCCCTGTTTTTCGGCAAAGCTTGCATGCCGAAAAATAATATGCATAGTGTTTGTTCCAAGGACGATATCAACACTCCATCGACCATTTATTTTCCTCAGGGCGATAGTTACGTATCGGCCATGTTTGTGCTAAGGGCGATAATCGTATATCGGCCATTGCCCACTTAGGCTTCCTGCCACACACTCGGGTGGTACTTCTTCATATATTTGCCATTGAGAGCTCGAGGTAACAATGCCCCTTGTATTGATTCCACCAAATATGAATTTCCGGGAACAACTCTTGTAATTTTAAAAGGACCTTCCCAACTCGGAGACCACTTCCCGAATTTTCTATCTCTTGAACCAATCGGCAGAATCACTTTCCAAATGAGATCACCAACATGAAAATTCTTCAACTTAACTTTCTTATTGTAAGCCCTTGCCACCCTCAACTTATCTCTCTCTATGGCGTTCAAAGCAGCCAAACGTTATCAGCAGCCTCATCAATGTTGTCCATCATCAAGTTATAGAAGTCTATTGCCGATAAATCATTTTGTTTGGCTATTCTCAAAGCATTCAAATTTACTTCCACCGGTAAAACAGCCTCCTGACCATATACTAGCTCATATGGAGTCACTTTCGTAGCACCATGCCTTGAGATTCTATGTGCCCATAATGCCTCAGACAACAAGTCATGCCATCTCCTTGGATTATCCTCAATCTTCTTCTTGATAAGCTTGATTAAAATTTTATTGCTAGACTCAGCTTGTCCATTAGCTTGAGCATAATATGGAGAGGAATTGAGCAACTTTATGTTATAAGATTCGGCAAACTCTCTGACTTGGTGTGACATGAAAGATGAACCTTGATCTATAGTTAACGTTTGAGGAATACCGAATCTATGAATAATGTGCTCGGTTATGAATTGAATTACCTCCGTATGTGTCATGCTCTTGAGAGGTACTGCTTCAGACCATTTAGTGAAATAATCAGTTGCCACCAATACGAACCGATGCCCTTTTGAGGAAGATGGATGGATTTGTCCAATGAAATCTAAACCCCAACCTCTGAAAGGCCACGGTTTGATAATAGGATGTAGCATAGCAGCAGGAGCCAATTGAATATCACCAAACTTTTGACAAGCTTCACACCCCCTATAATATCTGAAGCAATCATTAATCATAGTCGGCCAATAAAACCCAACACGTCGCAATAACCATTTCATCTTGGGAGCCGACTGGTGAGTGCCACAAATACCTTCATGTACTTCTCCCATAGCAACTCTTGCCTGGTCCTCGTCCAAACACTTTAGAAGAACATCATCGACGGTTCGGCGATAAAGACCATCATCTCTCATTGTATACTTGAAAGCCATACGCCGAACAGCCCTGTCCACCCTTTCACTCGGATTGCACAAGTAATCAACAATGGGCTTCCTCCAGTCGGGATTGTTACCTGCACTAGACTTTTTGTTAATGGCCGAATCAGTGGGTTCAGGTTCGGCCTCTCCCATATTGGCAAGACAAGATATCGGTCTTTGAGAGATATGAAACATGCCATGACCAACATGATATCCGGATGCTTGTTGTGCCAATTCATTTGCTTTCCAATTGTCATGTCTAGATATATGAGCAATGCTAAAGCAATCCAAAGTAAAAATTATATCTAGACATCTATCAAGATAAACATTAAGTGATTCGTCCAAACACTGAAAGACTTTGGATATTTGCTGCACCACTAGTAACAAATCACCATAAGCCTCAATACGTGTAGCACCTATAGCAAGTAACATCTCTAGGCCGAATAACAATGCTTCATTTTCGGCTTGATTGTTTGTGCAAAAATATTCTAAGCGGCATGAGGCTTCAAAAACAGCACCATGAGGAGATATATAAACAATACCAACACCTTGGCCATTGCTACAAACTGAACCATCAAAGTATAATCTCCATGGTACTAATGAAACAAGGTTCATATCAACATCATGCTTGTTATTAATCCGATGTTCAACAATGAAATTAGCAACAATTTGGCCTTTCATGGATTTTAGAGATTCATAAGCCAAATCATATTCAATCAAAGCATAAGCCCACTTGCCAATTCTACCACTAAGAATTGGCCTATGCAACATGTATTTAATGACATCGGTTTGACAATCTACTACACAAACACTCGACACTAAATAATGTCTCAATTTTGTGCAAGCATAATATAAGCATAGACATAATTTCTCAATAAATGTATACCTTGTCTCTGCGCCCAATAAACGGCGGCTCAAATAAGTGATGGCATACTCTTTTCCTTCGGTCTCTTGAGTTAGAACAGCACCAATAACTCCTTCCTCTGCTGCAATGTAAAGTCTGAAGGGTTTCCTATGCTTGGGTGCTTTCATCACCGGAGGAGTGCATAAATAATTCTTGATCATATCAAATGCTTCTTGTTGTTTTGCCCCCCCAAGTGAAATCAGCATCATTCTTTAACCGAAGGATAGGAGTAAATTCATCAACTTTCCCTGATAGATTAGCTATGAACCTTCTCAAATAATTGACCTTGCCAAGGAACTTTTTCATATCTCTCTTGCATGTTGGAGCCTCCACCTTCTGTATAGCCTCTATCTTTTTGGGATTAATCTCTATACCATCTTCATGAATAATGAAACCCAAAAACTTGCCAGCTGACACGCTGAAAGCACACTTCAGAGGATTCATTTTCAGTCCATACTTTTTCATTCTTTCAAAAGCTAAACGCAAATCGGCCAAGTGAGATTCAAAAGCATTCGATTTGACAACAATATCATCAATATAAACTTCAAGTATGACACCGAGTAAATCATGAAAAATTAAATTCATAGCCCTTTGATACGTGGCTCCCGCATTTTTTAATCCGAATGTCATCACTGTCCACTCGAATAAACCAAGGAAACCAGGACATCGGAAAGCCGTTTTGTACATGTCCTCTTCGGCCATAAAAATTTGATTGTATCCGGCATTACCATCTAGAAAGCTAATAACCTTATGTCCAGAAGCATCATTAATAAGCATATCGGCTATTGGCATATGATACTCATCTTTGGGTGTAGCCCTATTCAAATCTTTGAAATCAATGCACACCCTCAACTTGCCAGATCCTTTCTTCTCTACCGGGACAATGTTAGAAATCCACTCGGCATACCTGCAAGGTCGAATGAAATTAGCTTCAAGCAGTCGACCGATCTCTTCCTTGATCCGGTCATATGTTTTCGGATTAAATTTTCTGGCCGACTGTTTATAAGGTCTAAAACCGGCCCTTATAGGCAACCGATGATCCACTAGCTCTCGGCTTAACCCTGGCATCTCATGATATTCCCATGCAAAGCAACAAACATATTCTTTCAGTAGCTCGATTAACTTAGCCTTACAATCGGCTTTCAAATTTTTGTTTATAAATGTCGGTCGAGTGACTGAACCATCTCCAATATCTACCTCTTCTAACGGATCGGCTAATGTAAAACCTTGTCCAAGTTTGTCCATATCATCCAACTCCTCTATAGACTCATACATATCGTTCTCATTGGAACGATACTTTACAAGACGTTTTTGTAACCACTCGGAATTAGGATCCATTTAAACATATCATACCTTGGAGCCGATTGCATTCACTCGGCTTTAAAGAGACGGGCACAAAACCATTCTTGGTCGCGCTGAGAAAATCAAATTCTGATAAGTCACGTCCCGTCAAGCAAGTAGCGTTGGGATGTTGCCAATCCACCGATGCATCGGCCAAAGCAACACAGGCCGAGTTATCCGCGTGAATAACTTCCACTTCATCATCAACCCACTGAATCAAAAACTGGTGCATAGTGGATGGCACGCACTGGTTTGCATGAACCCAATCACGGCCTAGTATGACGTTGTAGTTACCTTGCACCTCAGCGACAAAGAATGCAGTAGCCAAAGTTTTGCTTCCGATTGTAAGCTCCACATACATTACACCTTTGGCTTCAGTTTTCTCTTTGCCTTCAAACCCGTTGAGCACCATATTGGTCTTGATCAATTCTTCATCAGGCAAACCCAATTTCTTGAAGACCGAATAGGGCATAAGATTTACCACAGCACCACCATCAACAAGCATCCGAGTGAGCGGCGACCCATTGATATGACCTCTGAGATATAATGGTTTCAGATGTGTTACTGGTTCTTTTGGTTTCTCGAATATTGCGTTTTTAGGGCCAAAATCCAGCTGAGCCACCTCCCCTTCTTCGTCTACAGCACGAAACTCAGCAGGTAAGTAATACACCATGTTGATATCCATACCTTCATGAACCGGCGTAGACTCATAGTCCAACATATCAGCCCCCTCCTCGGGTGCATCCACAGATTCTGAAATTTGTTCGAGTGAAGGAGAAGTAAGAAGTGTCGCAGACGATGTCATATCTGTTGCATGGCCCTCCTCTGGTGATGTAGGTATTGCTGTGATAGATGTAGAAGTTGCTGTATCTTGTATTTGTTTAGGCCTCCATACTTGTTTTGGTGGAACCATGGGTCGAGTGTCATCGAACAACTTATCCCTTTGTTTCTCGGCCTCCTGTTCTGCCATCTCTTGACTCTGTAACCTCTGCAGTTTCCTCTTTTGTGTCTTTGTTAGCCCTGGAGGACACCACTTTGGCTGAGTGTATTTAGGATCTCTCTTCTTTACCTGGCTGGTGCTTGCCTCATGGTCATTAGCCGAGTGCTTTGGCGCGATAGCAAGTATCGGCTCAGTCGGATTGCTATGCACAATCGGCTGATGTATGGCGAATGTTTTGGTGCCCAAGATAAGTGAGTCGACATCCATTTTCTCCTTGCCTTTTCCCGACTCAACTGCTGCAACACTTGGTGATTTAACACGCCATTCTTTTCGACTATCCAGATGCATGAAATTTCCACTTGGGCGCACCTTTTTACTCTGATGGGATCCACTCGGATGGATATCACTCGGATGGAATTCAGTCGGATGGAATCTACTCGGCCACATTTTTTCACTCGGATAGCTTCCACCTGGGTGCATTCTTACACTTGGATAATTTCCATCCGGTCGCATGTTTTGACCAGCCGACCGATAGTTACCGATGTTCAGTCGGCCTCTATATGAATAGTCAAGTCGATCCCAAACAGATTGTGTATGCTCTTCTGGAAACGGCACCCTTGGTCCACTCGGTTTCATATACTGACTGAACATATCAGCTGATGGTGACCTTGGTCGCTTCAGATGAGTCGGCCGATTAAAGCTAGAACCGGCCGACTGGTTGGTGTACTTGGACATCAACATATCAAAAGTTGGCTTGATCCGCTTGCGCTGTACTTTAACTTCATTCCTTTTCCACTTGCCAATTTCTGGACTCTTGGGTTTGACAAATCTCACACGAGCATTTTCTTGCACTTGCAGTTGCCCCCCGAGTGTAGGATTCTTGATGGTGATTTTGATCACTTCCTTGCCATCGGGTTGCTTATCAAGCACAACCTGTCTCCCCAAGACCTTGTTGTCCTCCTTGTCTTTCCTGGGCTCACCAACAATGACATTAGCTTTATTAGCAGATTCGGCTATCTCCGGCCGAATGAGTAGCTTCTTCCCCTCCAAATCCATGGTATTCATTGGAAAAGGTTGTTTGTCAACTTGCATCTCAGAAAAGTTCAATCGTCCGTCATTAATGGCCGATTGTATCTGTCGTCGAAAAACATTGCAATCATTAGTAGCATGAGAAAAAGAATTATGATACTTGCAATAAGCGCGCCGTTTCAGCTCTTCAAACGGCGGCAAAGTATGAGATACTCTAATAATTTTAGCCTGCAGCAAAGCATCAAATATTCTATCACACTTAGCAATGTTAAAAGTAAATTTCATTTCTTCATCACGATTCTTATGAATCGGTTTCAGATCATTGCAAGTAAAGGGTTTGGCCTTAGATGGCCAAACAAACTCAATAGCAAAAACATCACCCTCATCGTCCGAGTGATCACTATCATATTCCACCATATTCATCTTTGGACGATCGGCTTTGTATCTATGCACTTCTTTGAGGTCTTTGCTTCGGCTTTCCTGAGCCAAAGCCCTTTGTAAGACTTGGTTGATATTTAAGAACTCATAGCCTTCTAGCTTTTCTCTAATGGGAGTTCTCAAACCACTCAGCACTAGGTCTGCCAAGTCCCTCTCAGTTATCACCAAACTAAAACACCGGTTTTTTGTTTCTCTGAATCTCTTGACGTAATCGGAGACCGATTCATCATGCTTCTGTTTAACCGATGTTAGATGTGACAACTTGAGTTCATTGTCGCCGCTATAAAAGTGATCATGAAATTTCTGCTCTAGCTGCGACCAAACTCGAATGGAACCATGTGGTAAAGAAGAAAACCATGAAAATGCAGTACCAGTTAAAGATAAAGGAAACAAATGCACTTTCAACTCATTTAATGAGCCTGCTTCACCCAATTATGCTAAATATTGACTAACATGCTCCCATGTGGTTTTTGTGCCCTCTCCATTGAACTTAACAAAATCTGGAATCTTATACCCCGGAGGGCACTGGATGGCATCAAAGTACTCGGGGTACGGCTTTTGGTAAATCCGATTCCGAGGTAACTCAACTCCAAAATTCTCCCGAAGCATCTTAGCCATCTCCTCTCTAAGATTAGCTAGACCATCATCCATAGTGGACGATGAAGCTTGTGGCAGTGGCATAGGAAGAGTAGGGTTACTAGCCGTAGGTAAGAATTGTGGCATGTATGTCGACCCATAATTTGGTAATGGTCGAGTGGTTGTAGCTGTAGGTAGGGTTTGGTTCGGCGTTGCCACCGAACCTGGCATGTTCATGATAGGATTAATGGGTGTAGCCACAATCTGATTTGTTTGGATAGGATAATAAGTCATCGGCACGGGAGGCGCCGATGCAATAGGTAAAGTCAGATTAGGGTTTTGCACACTAGCAGCTACACCATTATTACCACTAGACGATTGAGATATATTCTTCTGAGCATTAGTATTTTCTATAAAAGTTTGATAGACTAGATTGTTACCATCAGCAATACGACTTTCAATCTCAGCCCATTGCTCAGGAGAAAAGGCAGTACTTACAGAAGGCTTAACCTGTTCAATTTGAAGAGGAGGGAACTTGATTTCTTCAATCGGAGTGATGTTGCCTTGGCGATCTTTCTTGAATTTTGCAAGGAACTCCTGCAGGTCCTTCTCCTCGCGCGCCTTCTTGTACTCCTCATAGACTTGGCAATGATCGGCCGATATCTCATCAAGACTAGGCTTAATGATGTTATCGGTGTCTACCTCAGATGGCTTGGGAAGATCGGACATGGTGGATGATGACGATTGATCTTCGATCCCCAGCGGAGTCGCCAAAAAGTGTGTTGACATACGAACACGTCACGTGTACCCTCGATGCCGGGGGTGATGCACCGCAGCTCACGTCGAAGGAAACCCGACCGACAGCGCGATACGCAAGACAGTCGACGGGCGCTTTTGCAGACCCGAAAACCCCACACCCCCGGGAGGGACCCCGTCAGGGAGTGCGGCGGCTATGGGCTGCCCTAGGTCGATTCGCTCGCCCCTAGAGCCTCGGAATTCGCAGCTCGCAAACACGAAGAACAACGAAGAACGAGATAGAAAAATGGTGGAGAGATAAAACGTATATGAAAAAGTAGTATATTGATTTGTTTGATTGTGTGTTGTTCAATCGGCCGTCACCCCCAACATATATAAGAGGCGGCTGGACTTCTCGTACAAGTAAAGGATTCATCTAGGCTTTCCTTACAAGAAAAATTACATCAATTCACATCCTAGAGTCCTAATTCTATTCCAACTCGGATTCAGTCTGAATCTGGCCCAAACTCTGTCTTCCTTCTTGCGCGGGCCGCCGAGCTTGCATATGATCTCCGATCGAGACGGCCCAAATATCAAACTTGTGCGCTTCGACAATACGAACAACTCTCATGTTGATCATTTTTTTCAATAAGGCCATCTTGAATACTTTTTGAGGTCATCTTTATCTTCCAGTCGGACTCGGTTTTGCAGTAGACTAGATTATCTGAGTCTCGTAGTGAATTTGTAGACTGGATTATCTCTGATGATGATGACTCCAAAATCAAAATTTACCGTCTTGATGATACGCACAACTTCTGTATTGAACACTTCTTCATCCAAGGTCATTTTGATAAAGTTTCGAGCACATGTTCAATTTCACTCGGACTTGAGCTCATCCACTCGGATATTATATAGTTTCACTCGGATCGTCCGATTGGACTTTTCACTCGGAAGACAATCTTTCACTCGGATGACTATATTTCCACTCGGATGACTATATTTCCACTCGGAAGGCACTATCTTATTTACTCGGATGACTATATTTCCACTTGGAAGGCACTATCTTATTCAATCGGCAAGTTTTCGTCCCGATGGTAATCTTTTCACTCAGAATATTTTCACCTGGACGACAATTTCACTCGGATGATCATATTTCCACTCGGATGACTATATTTTCACTTGGATAATAATAAGTTCATCCGGTCAGCAAATTTTCACTCGACCGTAAACTTTCACTCGACCGTAAACTTTTCACTCGGATTTCCGACTGAAAGCATAGCCCGATCTTGATTTGTCTCTCCAGGCCTCATATGATCTCGGATTGAGACAAATTATATATGAAAACCGATCGGCTCGACGAGACGAAACTTTTCCATGTTGAAGGTTTTTCGATTAAAGGCCGTATTGATGGCCGAATTACTCGCGCAACCTATCAGACAAGTGTCTGGCACCTCGCGTCATATTTCCGTTGAGGTTCAGTCTGCAGTATATTGCCTCTAACTTTTGCATATGAACTCGGATTGAGATTATTTATATATCAAAATCGATTGCCTCGATGAGACAAAGACAATTCCTTAAGAGTGATCCTTCATCTGAGGTCATCTTGAAAACGTGATTGGCCAAAAACCACTCGGAATATTGAACTATGCCACTCGGAGTATAGTTTCGGTCCGTAAGATAAAGTCGAATGAATATAACCGAAACATCAAAGTGGTTCCACTCGGTGACGCGAATATTTTTATGCTGAAAACTCATTCACTCGAGACCATCTTCGTTGCAATCTGTATCTTGCCAAAATCAGTGTCAACAACCTGCTAACATACTACTAGATGAAAATCTCCGGCCAAAGATATCGGATTTTGGGATAGCAAGATTGCTTGCTGCTGATGAGACACAACATACCAGATATGTCATTGGTTGCATAGGTTACATGGACCCTTTGTTTTGTCAGAGTGGGAGACTAACACCAAAGAATGATGTATACAGTTTTGGAGTCGTTTTGCTGGAAATCATCACCCGAAAGAAAGCTGTGGATGGGAACATCATCCTTGCTCAAACTTCTGCTGAAGCCCTGAGAAAAGGGAAAAAGATGAGACAACTGTTTGATGTGGAAATTGCGAATGACAAAAAGAACATGAAATTTCTTGAAGATGTTGCAAAACTAGCAGCTGAGTGCTTAAAAATGGAGGGCAAAATGCGTCCTGAAATGGTTGAAGTAGCGGATAGACTTAGAACAATTAGAAAAGCTTACCACCAGCGCAAGGGCAGAAGTTCTGCAGGTAATAATGAATTTGTATGGCCCTTTCCAATTGGGATGTCAATTTTAATAGTTCCTCTCTCGTTCAATTAATGTCGAGTCTGCCTCACTAGTTGTTTTCCTATATATATTACATTTGAACTCAGTTATAATGGTTAACTCAATAATTTGTGAATCGATAAAAATACACCATTTTTATTTCAAAATATTAGTATATAAATATCAATAATTTTCCTTGTATGCTATCAACATGCTTTGTGTTTCTCATTCCTGGTGTCTTATTGGTGGTTCAGTGTACCAGGTCAACTACGTAGAGACCAATTTCATTTGTTATCACATTAGAAACTTGTTGATAAATATTGTTGTGCCAAATAGTAGAACTAAATAATCGACTGTTTCTTGAAGAGCTTCTCATTTTTAAATCTTCATTTCAATTTTCTCCTAATGCAGGTAGCAACTCTGGTCTTTCTATAAGTGGAAAGACAGAGGATGTGGCTTCCCCGATCACTATTACCACTGCCACTGTCAACAACACTGACGGAATTCCACCATCAGTGGTACCAACCATTTTCATGGCTGAACTGAAGGAAATAACTAGGAACTTTAGCAATGATGCTCTAATAGGAGAGGGCTCAAACAATAAAGTTTTTTTCGGAGTGCTGAAAGATGGACATAAATCTGCGATCAAGAAGCCTAGGCGGCCTAGTACAAAAAATATTTTGGAGGTCATGGCTGCGTCCCCTGACTTTTTGCGGGTTCCGATGGTCTCAAGATTCAAACATGAAAATGTTATCTAGCTTCTTGGATACTGTGTTGAAGGAGACAACCACATTCTTGCTTGTGAGTATGCATCCAGGGGATCGTTGTACGATATTCTTCATGGTGAGTTGTTACTTCCAAATTTTTATGTGCTCTCTGGTATTTAGCGAGAGCACATAAATATTACACGCAATCCAAGCAAGGCCAAATAGGAGAGGGGCACTTTGTTGTGTGAATATTCATGTTTGTGCCAGATCAATCTTAATCTGGGGCGTTTATGAGCCAAAAGATATATATATATATTATCAAACGATAACAAGTATCATCAAATTGATCAACTGGTATGAATATTGGATTAAAAAAAATTATCTCGCAAAAAAGCTGATATTCTTGTGGCTTATGATCACAGGTAAGAAGAATGTCAGGGGAGCCGAACCAGGACCGGTTCTATCCTGGGCGCAGCGTGTGAAGATTTCCATGGGTGCTGCAACTGGGCTAGAATTCCTCCACGAGAAGACACAGCCTTGCGCTGTCCACAATGGCATCAAATCCAGCAACATATTTCTCTTTGACAGCGACGTTGCGAAAATTGGTTGGCCTGATGTTTCCAGACGGCAGCCCCCTATAGACAATATCTTTTTGGATCGTATTAACTTTACTACCTGTTACGGTTATGATGCGCCTGAGTATGCAACAAAATGTTTCACTGCTGTCAGATTCTTCCACCGGTTTTGAAAATCAGTACTCTCCTACTTATCTAGTCTTTTGTCCTGTCAGGTATGTAATGAAGGAACAACTTTCTACAATGAGTGATGTCTACAGCTTTGGGGTCGTGCTGCTGGAACTTCTAACCGGTCGAAAGGCAATTGATCATACACTACCGTGTGGCCAACAATCCCTCGTGATGTGGGTACGTATGCATTGGATGCGCTGATATAATTTGTTCAGAAGATGCGATAGCGAAACTCTAATGACATCAACATGCAGGCTACACCAAGACTTTCTGAATGCAAGGTGCAAGAATGCGTGGATCCGAGGATGGGAGGAGATTACCCTCCTAAGGCTGTCGCTAAGGTATGTTCTTGAACCCTTTTTTTTTCTTTTACCCAAAACAGTAGGGGAAGGCCCTACGCTTAAATTTTTATATGTAAAAAAGGCGCAATTGCGTGAGATCATGTTTCTTAAAATTAATTTGAGGCACACCGTCGATCATCCGAGAATCAAACAATCACACGAGCACGACATCAATATTTTTTTATTAGGTTCATCCATATGGCTACATCCCCAGGGCCTGACTACGTGCGTTCCTCCTCATGACGCTGTTACAATACCGCACACCAGCCACCCGGGTGCCGACACACGTTGCCGGCTCCCCTGCGTGCCTGTGCTATTATATTGGCATAGGTTACATCGTGTGTCTACCCCCTTATATATAAGAGGCCTAGGATACAAGTGTCCTATTAAGACACAACTCTATATCCTATCCCCAGAGTCCAACTGTAATCTAACTTGTAAAATAATATTCGATACAATTCTAAAGAACTCCATCTTGGCGAATATCCTTGACCACCTTGAATTCGCTCATGTGTCGAACCAGGGACGGATTCAAGGGGGGGCGAGACCCCCCCTGACGATCGTGTCGCCCCTTAATATCGATCGGTTGTTCGCTAGTTTTTCTCGCTATATAACTGCAAGTGGCTTGCTTCGCCCCCCCTATTCCTTTCTTAACCAGGGCCCGTGTACTATTCTCTCTTTCTTTTTTTTCAAAAAGGGCCCGTGTACTGTTTACAACGAAAATTGCACGTAAAAGGCCCAAATCCCAGGAAAAGTAAAAAAGGGAAATAGCCCACCATGGAAGCAAAGGGGCCAGGCTAGAAGCAGTACGCACAGTTTGCAGTTTAGATCTCCCCTCTAATCGCTTCGTTTCCAACCCGCTCCTGCGATCGAGCCTGCCGCCGGCCGCCCGCTAGATCGTCTGTCAGCCGCCTGCTTCAAGAAAGGAAGGGGATATGCAAGCGCGCCCCCCTCCTCCTCCTTCTCAATTCTGGATTAGGAAGGACAAATTCTGGAGTGGATGTTTCACTGCTAATGATTGTTATCCTGCTGGTGCTACTGCCAAACACCAAATTCCCATCAAATTTAGTTTCTCGTCTGATTTTTGGGCGAAGCGTGAAGGAAGGGAGACCTATGCGGAGGTTACCCGCAAGATGGCTGGAGCTGCTGCAGGTCAGGGTGCTAGAGGAGGTGCGAGGGGCAACGGTGGCCGTGGGCGCACCGAGGCGCGCCCTCCTCCCCAGCTCACCACTGTGCCGCCTACTGCCCCCCTGTTCGACCTCCTATGGTCCAACAGCAACAGCAGATTCAGCAGCAAAACCAACCTCCCCCCCTTTCCATTTATGCTAAGCCTCCCATTTTCCCTTTGGCCTCTAACTCTCAGATGTTCTAGCCGCAAAACATGGGGTCGGGGTTCCCAGGATACCCTCCTCCTGGTTATCAGCAATATCCTGCTATTACTTGGCCTAATCAGCAATAGTTTCAATTCCCATTCATGGCCCCTAACCAGATCGCTCCAATGCAATACCCTCAGCCTGGGAATGCTGGCAGTGGCTCTGGATCTAGAGTGGTCAAGTTGGTCAGAGTAAAAGTAAAAAGAAACAGAGGAATGCTGCTGGGAAGAAAGCTATGAAGACTGATGCTGGGCTTGCTGCTCCTCAAGTTACTGTGTCTACTGATGCTCCTGACTCTTACAACGTAGACCCTAAGTATATTGGGGCTACTTGTTTCAACTGCGGGCTACCTGGACATTATGTGGGTATGTGCCAGATACCTAGGAATTGTTTCATGTGTGCTATTCCTGGTCACCATATGGATGCCTGCCCCCTGTGGTACAAGCCCTACCCAGCTGCTCAGTTCTGGGGAAGTGCTGGGATGGCTTGGGCTTCTTTCATCTTGAGGCTGGAGAAAAAAGCAATAGCGACTGGCTGAATTTTGGAATGTGGGTCTGGTGGTTATTGAAGAAGGAGAAATTTCTGCTGAGGAACTGGGTGCTTGCTTCACTAGCATGTGGAAAACCAACTGGCCTTGGCAGATTAGAGCCTATGATGAGTCCCAATATCTAGTTAGATTTCCCCCTAACAAGAAAATCACTGATTTAGTTGCTTATGACTCCATCAACCTCAAGAAGAAAGGGGTCTCAATTTCTTTCAAGAATTGCCATGGAGAGCTAACTGCTTATGACTCCCTGACTGAGATATGGGTGGATATTGTGGGCCTGCCTCCTGTGTGGTGCTCCTGGTCTGTGATTGCCCAAGTTGCTGCTACCTTAGGTGTCATCACTAACATGGATTGGCATGGGATCTTCAGTAGTTTTTATGAGGTGGTGAGAGTTCAGGTTGCTGTTAGAGACCCTGCTTTGATTCCTAGAGACAGACTTTTTGAAATTCAACAAGAGCTGTTCCTACTCACCTTCAAAGTTGAGGAGGGAGAGCCTGTGGAGTCTGATAACCCCTCTGATCCCACAGATCACAAAACTGATGATGATGACAGTAGCAAGAAACAGGAGGGTGAAGATGAGTTCAGCAATGATGACCTGCTGGGAGAGGAGATGGAACATGACCAAGATAATAGTAGGAAGAACTCCAATTTCAGGCCAAGAACTGCCTCAGCTCCTAGTGGGACTAGAAACAGAACTCATACTAAGATGTTGTCTCTTCTCCTGCTATCTCTGGGGTGGAGATGAATAACAACATCACCTTGGAGAGATCGGTTTTCTTAAAGATTCAGGATGCTCCTCTTACCAAAAGCTACCTGCAAGCTGTTAAAAGAACCCCAGTTGAGAATTGTGGTACTATCCTGCTTCCTGAGTTTGAAGCTGCTTCAAAGGCTGGAATGACCAGTTATGATAGTTTTCCTGCTTCTCTTGGGGGGTTAATCCCTTGCCCCTCCCACACAGCTAGCCTTAAAGCTGGGAGAGATAAATGGGGCCCTGTTGTTTCCACTAGGATGAGTGACAGGATCAAGAGAGATGGGAAACCAGCCCTGGTCAAAGCTCAAGAGATTAAGCAGAAGAAGAAATTGGAGATTCCCAGAGGTAATAACCCCAAGGTCTTCCATAATTCTTTTGCTTGTCTAGACAATGATGATCTAATTTCTAAAGCCTTCAATGCTGGAATTGTGATGGGAGATAATCCTTCTCAAGCTAGCAATAATGTTGAAGTTGTTAAGAAATTAGAACTAGAAAGATTAGACAAGTTTAAACAGGATAATCCATATTTTTCTTCCTGGAGATATTGATGTCACCGAGGAAGAATACTGCAATATTTACAATTCTGTTGCTACTATTGACACAAAAATTGACCATTACTCTGATCCAAATATGGAAAAAGAGTCTGATGATGCCTCTTCTTGGGTGGAGGTTAAAAGTCAGAGGTCCAAAAAGTGTCAAGCTAAAATTTCCACTAGATTTAGATGATAGGTCTATTTTGGAATGTTAGAGGGCTCAATGGCCCTCATAAGATCACTAAGGTGCAGGAGCTCAATAGAGCTCACTGCCCTGACTTTGTTTGTTTATCTGAAACCAAGAAAACTGAGTTTAGTATTACTCAGCTAGAGGCTATAGACTCTAGAAATGGTTTTATTTGGAATTGGCTGCCTGCTAATAACACTGCTGGAGGCTTATTAGTAGGGGTCAAGGAAGATAAATTTGAGATCATAGCTTGTGAAGTATTCACTTACAATATCTCTTGTTTGCTGAAGAACAAGTGTAATAACACTGTTTGGAGGCTTATCTCTGTGTACGGTTCTGCTTATGAGGAATTTAAGCTTGATTTTATTAATGAGCTTCATAACCTCCTAAATAACTGGACTGGACCCACCATAGTGGGAGGTGACTTTAATTTGGTTAGAACTGCTGAGGACAAGAACACTGGACTAGTTATCCAGCATTGGGCTGATCTTTTCAATGACTGGATTAATAAATTTGGCCTCATTGAGATCGAGAATGCTGGCAGAAAGTTTCTTGGGCCAATAACCAAGACAA